CAATGGCATGGATTAACACAAAATAAATGATAAGGTTTATTGATTGAAATGTGTTTTAAAGATCACAGTAATGTTGACGAATGAAATGCCAACCTCTTAATGTAAACTTTTCCAATGTCCATACCATAGCCATTTATCAAAATTCAAGTAAAACCTATCTAAAATAAAGTCATAGAAATATAGAATTAGGTTTAGATTCATTGTTTGCCTCCAAGAAGATTTCAATTAGGAAAGGTTGCGTAGTCTACCACCATGTCATCAAAAACATTAATAGCAATGATTATTAAAGCTGTACTTTTGTTTTATTTCATACACAGAACACTAAAAAGCTGAATTTCATACTTTTTGTTTGACTAGATTTAAAATTAAATTAGACTTTACTAGTAAAAAACTTTTTTTATATAGTTTATTTACAATTTGGCTTGTCAGATTAAAGTTTAAGGAAGGTATTTGAAGGAAGTATTTGTATTCTATAACGGACAAATTTGTAGGTAAACATTTTAAAATCCACTCACTTCAATTACATAATTAGTAGTTGCTATAGACAAAATTCAAATACAACAAAAACTAAGTATCCATAGAGACAACTCATTTTACAGAGATATATTTTACAAGTGGCATCAATCAAAATTTACTCTTGGTTGAATATTTTTGAACAGTAAACAAGCAATGGATGTGATTCGTGTTCTGATGGTATTAGCAGGTGTGGGTTTTGGGGTGACCATAGGGTGGATTTTGGAGCAGTTATTCGATCGTCCACCTCCACCAGCTCCTTTCATCAGATACCTGCTCTTATAGATCAACACGACCTTCCTCCCACCCCCACAACATCTGGGGGTGAAGGTGCTGCAGGGGAAGGAAAAATGGAGCAGAAATATGCAGCAACAAAACGACCTTGATACCCAACCTTGACTACAAACACCCGGCCTTGACAACAAATACCCAACCTTGACATCAAATACCCAACCTTGACAAAAATACCCAACCTTGACTAGAAATACCCAGCCTTGACTAAACATAACCTATCACGAGCCTAAGCAACAGGAACCTTAGAAAGTTTTCAAATTGAATTGAAAGACGTATCAAGAAACATCTGACTTTGGAGATCCTGGAGCATCAACTATGAAACCTTTTTCAATAAACATTGTTTTCTATTGGATATTTTTGAATTATTTTATATATACATAAGTCCGTAGTAAGGATCATGGTAATAGGTTATAGAAATACGACATAGGGTGTGATGGAAATGTGAATAAAGCTAAAAAAAAATTTGAGTGTTTGGAATCAAGATAATGTTTATGAAAAGTCTTAAATCGGCTAAAAATTGAGATGTAACCCGAAAACTGAAACAAACAGTTAACCTAGATAGGCATCCTCCATCATACAGTATGATGCTAAGGGTATCAATCAATACTTAAATTTGACGAACATATGATTTGCATATAGTGAGGTATCGTCATACAGTTTGACGCTAAGGGTATCAATACTTAAATTTGACGAACATATGATTTGCATATAGTGAGGTATCGTCATACAGTTTGACGCTAAGGGTATCAATACTTAAATTTGACGTTCATAGGAATTGCATATAGTAAGGTATCGTCGTACAGTGTGACGCTAAGGGTATCAATACTTAAATTTGACGTTCATAGGAATTGCATATAGTAAGGTATCGTCGTACAGTGTGACCCAAAGGTATCAATACATAAATTTGACGAATATATGATTTGCATATATAGTAAGGTATTGTCATACAGTTTGACGCTAAGGGTATCAATACTTAAATTTGACTTTCATAGGAAATGCATATAGTTGGGTATCGTCGTACAGTGTGACCCAAAGGTATCAATACATAAATTTGACGTTCATAGGAATTTCATATAGTAAGGTATCGTCGTACAGTGTGACCCAAAGGTATCAATACATAAATTTGACGAATATATGATTTGCATACTGTATATAGTAAGGTATTGTCATACAGTTTGACGCTAAGGGTATCAATACTTAAATTTGACGTTCATAGGAAATGCATATAGTAGGGTATCGTCGTACAGTGTCACCCAAAGGTATCAATACATAAATTTGACGAATATATGATTTGCATACTGTATATAGTAAGGTATTGTCATACAGTTTGACGCTAAGGGTATCAATACTTAAATTTGACGTTCATAGGAAATGCATATAGTAGGGTATCGTCGTACAGTGTGACCCAAAGGTATCAATACATAAATTTGACGTTCATAGGAATTGCATATAGTAAGGTATCGTCGTACAGTGTGACCCAAAGGTATCAATACATAAATTTGACGAATATATGATTTGCATATATAGTAAGGTATTGTCATACAGTTTGACGCTAAGGGTATCAATACTTAAATTTGACGTTCATAGGAAATGCATATAGTAGGGTATCGTCGTACAGTGTGACCCAAAGGTATCAATACTTAAATTTGACGTTCATAGGAATTGCATATAGTAAGGTATCGTCGTACAGTGTGACCCAAAGGTATCAATACATAAATTTGACGAATATATGATTTGCATATGTAGTAAGGTATTGTCATACAGTTTGACGCTAAGGGTATCAATACTTAAATTTGACGAATATATGATTTGCATATATAGTAAGGTATTGTCGTACAGTTTGACGCTAAGGGTATCAATACTTAAATTTGACGTTCATAGGAAATGCATATAGTAGGGTATCGTCGTACAGTGTGACGCAAAGGTATCAATACATAAATTTGACTAACATATGATTTGCATATAGTAAGGTATCGTCATACACTGTGACGCTAAGGGTATCAATAAGAATAAATTTGACGAACATATGAATTGCATACAGTAAGGTATTGTCATACACTGTGACGCTAAGTGTATCAATACGTAAATTTGACAAAATGCCGGCCGTTTTACTATACACAAAGGGTATTGACACATAAGTTTGACGTATGCGTTCTAAGAAACCAACTAGCACGGACATAATAAAAAAAACACTACAACCCAACCAAAGCAACCATCACAAGGCAAATGACTGCTGAGAGCACTGCTGGTAGTGTGGTTGGGTAGTGTCGTTGAGGGGGTTCCCAATTCCAATGCTTACTGGTTTTTTTTTTATCATTGTTGTTATCAAGAGTGTGTCACAAATTAAAACAAATCACAATTAATTAACAAACATAGACATTTTTAAGGTGTGATTGTCTATGTACAAACCTTACATTTTTTTTAAGCCCTAGAGTAACAATAATAATACAGAACTTGTGGCTGATTACGTGTGTTAGTAGTCGTGAAGTGACTGTGGTGAGTAAATGGGAAAGTGGACTGGACAAGGTTGCAAGATTGTTGGACACAGACATGAATTAAAGGACATTGCCAGTGGTGTGCTAGTTTTGTATATTAACAATATAGGCTTAACAAAAGTAGTATGTTTTTATAACCTGTCAAGTTCCAAATAGTTGTTCTTGATTGTGCAATATCGATCAATCATGGCTATGGATGGAAATCATGAAATATTTTTCTTTAATGCAGCGGCGTATAAATGTCAAGGAATGTTGAAGATAGGCCGAAGTTTGTCGAGTCAAGTGCAGATGACTTTTGAAAATTATGAAAAAGGAGAAAAACCCAAATCTGTTCGCTTTAGTGATGCGATACAGACTCAAACATTCAGGTAATTCTAAGTTATAGATATGTATATAATTCAAGTTATATGTCATATAATTTAATGTAGGCTACATGCTCCCTTATGTTATATAATTTAATATTCATTCTGTTATGTTCAAATATATTTTATGTTCATGGGATTCAGTAAGCAAACCATTTACTTATAGGCAAAATTTTCATAAAGGGAATAAACAAATATACCGTAGATTTCATGGCAAGACCTGGACCCAGGATCAATTTCAGCGAATATCCCATTTAGGCTATTAACTATTACTGTATGTCTCATAGTAAGCCCTAGCCCCAGAACCAATTTACTTTTTTTGAGGTCCCCAGAGCTTAAAAAACGAACCGGTCAAATTTATACATATATATATATGTATGTATGTGTTTCTGTTATTCTTTAAACATAAACTTTTGTAAGCTAATTTATGATGGGTAGCGCCGTCCTGTAATCCAGCTACTAGGAGGTCACGAATTGTGGATATTTATAGGCATGCACTGTGGATGCGATACTCCCTGGTGTGGATTAACGTCCGCACAAGTGGGTACTACGACTATCCGCAGTACTATCCTGATAATTAGACCAATTCGTATATACCAAGGCAAAAATGTGGTTCGGATTCCACTATAAACTGTAGGTCCCTTGGTTGCCATTAGCTGTATGGGCTATTAATTAACAGCTGTGTCTAAGGAATGTCGGCCTTAGTCAATAACAAGACTACAAGATTGCGCCACTCATCCTACACTCATCTACATTCATACTTAGCTTAAAATACCTACTTTGTATGGTCGTCATTTAATAAGAAAGTATTAAAGAAATAAATTTTGTTCCTACCAAGTTGTAGATTTTAAAAAGTTAAATATTTTAGCCTATTGACGCATTGTTGTAAGATATGCTTTATGCTTACTGGTTACAGAGAAAGTTCCAAAATATATACCTAAATTGGAATTAGACAACTATGTTTTTCTTATGGAGAATAATATTGTAAACTGTTGTAGTTTGCTTGCATATGGATAAGTTTTGATTAGATTTGTCAAAATTATTCATTTCATACTAAGCTTTGATTATTTTACTTATATTTTTTAGAAAGAAAATCATTTTTACTTCTAGTTTAAGGAAATATTTGAGTGAAAAGCCAATCTGAACAGTGGAAATTCGCTTAATCCGCAGGTTTGCTGCGGCGGGGGTATTTATCCTTTTAAGTGACCAAACCACCTCAGCGCTCCTTTGATTTGTTTCTAATATTGTTATATCACATCCAAATGATGTTAGGGAATGCAATTAGATTCAATCCTTAAAACTGTACGTTGAATATGAAAAGATGAATATAACTTACTTAAGGAAGGAACACCATGGCTGGTAAAAGTGTTCTTTTGACAGCACATAGACAGGTTCTTCAGTTTTGCCAAGCACCGGCCTATTTCTCAGCTGGAACAAGTCTAGCAATGTTTTCTTCTGATTGACAGCTGTGTCATGGTATTGTTGTTTAACAACTTCATCTCTGGATGCCAAGTGCTGTAACACACAAGAATCTTGTGAAAACCACTACAAGTTTAAGTCCTATTTTATTTATTCATAGAATGTCCGTACATCATAAAATGACAGGAAATTTGTCAATACAGTATTATAATTTTAATTTGTAAAGCTAAATTAGTACGAATAACATCAAAATAAAATAACTATAATATTAAACCATCTTGATTTCTACTTAAACATTCATGAAATGTTTTGGTCACCAACCAGTCTTTGAATTTTTGTAAAAACATTTTTGGATTGGCAATGATTTTTTAATGATCAGGAAATAAGTGGTACAGTTTTGGTTTGATATATATTGAGAGGATGCTTCAAATAGTGTTCTCAGATTGTCTCCCTGATGGTAGCAAAAGCCAGATACACCTTTCAGTATTTTGGTTGATCTATGCTGGCAGGTGGAGGTTGTATTATGGCCTTTGCAGCTTCTAGTGATAGGTCGGTACTTCACGTCAAATGTCGGTTCCGGCGGTTCTCGGCAAAAGAACCGGAACCCAGAACAGATGGTGAAATGTCGCTAGCGGTACCAAAACCCGGCGCCGATAATGCCGGGAAATAACAGATTTTACCCCGACCGCGCAAGACGACGAACACATTTCCGGACCGCGGGAGATGATTTTGCCGCGATCGCAATCACGGACAATAATGATGACGTTACTGCGATCTCGGACGACAACAAAGACGTTTCCGTGACCGTAGGAGTTAATGATGACGTCTACACAGCCACGGGAGATTTTAATGATTTTACCGCCATCGCGCAAGACGACGATGAAGTTTACACAGCCGCGGGAGATGATTTTGCCGCGATCGCGATCACTGACGATAACAATGACGTTACGGCGATCCCGGGATACGATGATGATGTCTACATGGCCGCATGACGTTTTCATGATTTTGCCGCAATCGTGGACGACGACGAAGACGTTTCCGTGACCGCGGGAGTCAATGATCGTAGGAGAGGATTTTGCCGGGATCGCGATCGCGGACGACGACAAAGATGTTTCCATGAAGGCGGGAATTCATGATGATGTCTAACGGCCAAGTAAGATGTTTATTAGTGATGGACGAGATTTTTCACTTCAAGTTGAGAGGAAACGAGATTTTTTTATTCCCGCAGGACGGGATTTTTTTTCGGGACGAGATTTAACGGGAAGTTATAAAAAAATTAATATCAAAGAATTGATAAGGCAAGGCCATGTCTCGGTGTTTGTATCTTAATGCAACATTTTATACGGCAAGGCCATGTGTCAGTGTTTGTCTCTGGATGCAAATAACTTATATGGCAAGGCCATGTCTCAGTGTTTGTCTCTTGATGCAAATTACTTATATGGCGAGGCCATGTCGCAGTGTTTGTCTCTTGATGCAAATAACTTATATGGCAAGGCCATGTTGCAGTGCTTGTCTCTTGATGCAAATAGCTTCTATGGCAAGGCCATGTCTCAGTGTTTGTCTCTTGATGCAAATAACTTATATGGCAAGGCCATGTTGCAGTGTTTGTCTCTTGATGCAAATAACTTATATGACAAGGCCATGTCGCAGTGTTTGTCTCTTGATGCAAATAACTTATATGGCAAGGCCATGTCTCAGTGTTTGTCTCTTAATGCAAATTACTTATATGGCGAGGCCATGTCGCAGTGTTTGTCTCTTGATGCAAATAACTTATATGGCAAGGCCATGTTGCAGTGTTTGTCTCTTGATGCAAATAGCTTCTATGGCAAGGCCATGTCTCAGTGTTTGTCTCTTGATGCAAATAACTTATATGGCAAGGCCATGTTGCAGTGTTTGTCTCTTGATGCAAATAACTTATATGACAAGGCCATGTCGCAGTGTTTGTCTCTTGATGCAAATAACTTATATGGCAAGGCCATGTCTCAGTGTTTGTCTCTTAATGCAAATAACTTATACGGCAAGGCCATGTCGCAGTGTTTGTCTCTTGATGCAAATAACTTCTATGGCAAGGCCATGTCGCAGTGTTTGTCTCTTGATGCAAATAACTTATTTGGTGAGGCCATGTCTTAGTGTTTGTCTCTTGATGCAAATAACTTATATGGCAAGGCCATGTCTCAGTGTTTGTCTCTTGATGCAAATAACTTCTATGGCAAGGCCATGTCTCAGTGTTTGTCTCTTGATGCAAATAGCTTCTATGGCAAGGCCATGTCGCAGTGTTTGTCTCTTGATGCAAATAACTTATTTGGTGAGGCCATGTCTCAGTGTTTGTCTCTTGATGCAAATAACTTCTATGGCAAGGCCATGTCGCAGTGTTTGTCTCTTGATGCAAATAACTTATTTGGTGAGGCCATGTCTTAGTGTTTGTCTCTTGATGCAAATAACTTATATGGCAAGGCCATGTCTCAGTGTTTGTCTCTTGATGCAAATAGCTTCTATGGCAAGGCCATGTCTCAGTGTTTGTCTCTTGATGCAAATAACTTATATGGCAAGGCCATGTTGCAGTGTTTGTCTCTTGATGCAAATAACTTATATGACAAGGCCATGTCGCAGTGTTTGTCTCTTGATGCAAATAACTTATATGGCAAGGCCATGTCTCAGTGTTTGTCTCTTGATGCAAATTACTTATATGGCGAGGCCATGTTGCAGTGTTTGTCTCTTGATGCAAATAACTTATACGGCAAGGCCATGTTGCAGTGTTTGTCTCTTGATGCAAATAACTTCTATGGCAAGGCCATGTCGCAGTGTTTGTCTCTTGATGCAAATAACTTCTATGGCAAGGCCATGTCTCAGTGTTTGTCTCTTGATGCAAATAACTTATTTGGTGAGGCCATGTCTTAGTGTTTGTCTCTTGATGCAAATAACTTATATGGCAAGGCCATGTCTCAGTGTTTGTCTCTTGATGCAAATAACTTATACGGCAAGGCCATGTCGCAGTGTTTGTCTCTTGATGCAAATAACTTCTATGGCAAGGCCATGTCGCAGTGTTTGTCTCTTGATGCAAATAACTTCTATGGCAAGGCCATGTCTCAGTGTTTGTCTCTTGATGCAAATAACTTATTTGGTGAGGCCATGTCTTAGTGTTTGTCTCTTGATGCAAATAACTTATATGGCAAGGCCATGTCTCAGTGTTTGTCTCTTGATGCAAATAACTTCTATGGCAAGGCCATGTCTCAGTGTTTGTCTCTTGATGTAAATAACTTATATGGCAAGGCAACGTCTCAGTGTTTGTGTGTGAGTAATGTTTATGACCTTGTCGCGACCGTGAAAAACAGTGATGATGTTTCAGTAGTTGAGAAAGATATCGACCCATCACCAATTTAATCAAATATTTTTAACACTTCTGCTACATTACATGATTTGAATGTGTTTGGTTATTTAAGGGTGTTTGTTTACATATAAGTTTCATCTTCTTAATCACTTTAGTTTTTCATGGCCGACCTATACCAATGCAAAATACTGTAAAATTAAAAAATATGGATATTGTTTAAAAAAATCAAGTAGCCTATCCTAAAAATTAAAATAAGGTACCGATGGTGCCGGGACCGAGAACCGAGAATCGATTTTGGCTAGGAAGAGGTACCGGTACCGACTTTGAAAAAGTGGTACCGACCCATCACTAGCAGCTTCGATGATTAATTCTACCCAGATACTATTCCACCAACCTGACATAGGTCGCAAGGCCGGGACCCACTGGGGAAGGCAGGTGCTGACGGAAAATACTGTAGCAAGATTTCCCACACACGGACAGGAACTAGCCTTCTGTCTGTTTCTTCAATGGACAAATTACCTGCAACATTGTATTACATATAACAATGAGTAAATCCTCAATTACAACAGACACAAGAATCAAGAATTTTCAGTGGTGTTGATCTATTGAAAAAGTTAGCACACAATATAACAGTTCTACTAACACTAGCCTACAAACATAATAAAAAACTTTAAAGCATAATGTGCACAGTCTCTAAACGTTAACCAAATGACCAAAACATAAACAACATAACCTAAACTTTTTAATTAATATAATTACAGTAAACAGAATCCAACCCTTTTATATATTTCTCTAATGGACAAATTACCGGTAGCACTGTAAACCCCAAATACCCCAAATTTAAATTCATTGGACGTAAAAGAGTTAAAAGGGTAACATGCACTCTTCATTTCATGGATGTGAGTTATTTTGAAATACACTATTGTACCAAATGTTGTCTCATATGCAATTCTGGTTATATACAAGGAATTTTTGTGTATCTGTTTTAGATTAGCAGGAGATGACAATAACCTATTGGTTATCAAAAACACGCCGATGGTGTTTCCGTGACCGTGGGACAAATATTTTGTCCACAATTGCAAAAGATAGCGATGATGTCCAAATGACCATGGGAAATGGTCACAACATTACCACAATAAAATCTTCATTAATCTAGAACATCTAGGATGTGGTTGGATTAAGCGGGATTCTACTAGTTACTGAATTGTCAAATGATAAAACTAAAAAGTAAAAACTCACCATGAGGGCAGACGATAGCTTCGTTAAATCCTATATTTGAGTCTGATTCGTCCTCTGTTTTATTTCCTTCCTCATCTTCAGTTTTTACTGTAAAATTTCTATCATTATTAACAGGCTGAGTATTTTCCTCACAAGTTTCTTTCTTCTCTACATTACATTTTCTATCTACTTGAGTACTTCTATTGTGCCTATCAATAGAAACTCTTCTGCGACAATTAACTCCGATTGGATTCTTGAGTGGTGTGGCTAATCTTCTAAGTTTAACTACTAATTGTCTACACTGACTGAGCAGGCTATGTTCAAAAGTCTTAGGTGAATTGTTCGTTTGGTTTAGCCTCACATGGAGCTTTTGACAAAGAACAAAACACTCTTTTATTTCACTTAAAGGCACAGTCACATTTTGATCAGTTTTTCGTCTACGTAACATTGCACTCCGGATTATATTCTTTTTCCTATGAATTTTTTTTGGAGATGAATTTTTACCTTCACAGTTGGTAATTTCCTTCTTTGTTTCTTCCGTTTCATTGGATACTTTGTTCTCTGGATGGGTCTGTAAAGAAGAGTTCTCCTCAGTCTGGGCTTCTGAAGCTTCACCGTTCGGAGAAGATAATCTGTTGGACATTTTGCTGGAAGAGGATTGTTTGACTTCAACCATATTGAGCACTTTGGTGCGCCAGGTTTTTATGCAGTACTTGTTTACATAGAACCCAGGTTCGTCCCTAGAAAGAAAGTTATTTATTAGCAAAACCGTCAATTCTAAAAATAATAAAAACAACGAAAAACGACTTATAGTGTTCGAAAACAAAATTCTAAGAAAAATCTTTGGACCAACCTTTGAAAATGGAGAATGGAGAGTAAAGCACAACAGGGAGTTGAGAGATTTGTACAGGAACCCGGATATTGTGGCTGAGGTGAGAAGTATAAGATTTGAGGTAATGAGATAAAGTGACAAGAGACCTGAGAAGAATGGGAAGAAGAGAGGAGGAAGCAATGGATCGTGGAATCTGAAGGCAGTGTGTTGGCGAGGCAAAGTACCTCCTTGGGTACCAAGTAAGTAAGTAAGTAAGTAAAAAGTGTATTTAACTAACATATCCATTGCATTCCTAACTCTTGTCTTGTTACAACCAGTTCCAGAAAAACGCATCCTTTACTTTAATTATCTTTCACACAACGATTTCCCTCACTACTTCCCTCAGAAGAAATCCTGTAAAACGAGGAATACCGTACGTTGTGAGGTATAATTGTGAACTTTTTTTGTATTTTATAGACTACTGGACTCTCAAGTTTTTCTATTAAGTTATCGAACTCTATCACTTCTAAAAACTAGAAAAATTTCTTCCACACAAATATGGGATGGAATGACCTTACAAAAGTGTGATTTTAGTGTTAAATCTGTTTTGGCCAGTCTTCTATGCAAGAGATTTTGTCCATTTATGTTTTGTGATCAATGAATATTTTCTTGCTCTTAGAATCACATTTAATGGCCTAATATCAGTGATAGAGCCCAATTATGAGATTTTGCCTCATTACTGGTTGTAAAAACCCAACAAAATGAAACTTATTTAATATACCAAGTTATAATATACTGAAAATATCTTATCATATTAAGCTTTTAAATGCTGTCAAAATGGTAACTTTTTTAATTGTCGAAGCACGTAAAGCAATTAATAGATTTTGTCTTTACTTCTTTACGGTGGTTTGAATTGTCTTTTTGTTACAAAATATTCTATTTGTCTTTCATGTTAAAACTTGGCTGTACTGTCTTACTACTCATTCAACATAATATTTTGCATTCAATCATTAATTTTGTACTTGCTGTGTGAGACTTAATGTAGGGCTAACACAAATAAACTAGTGATGGGTCGGTACTTAACGTCAAATGTCGGTTCCACCGGTTCTTGGGAAAAGTAACGGGACAGAGAATCAATGGTGAAATGTTGTGATACCTTCGATACCAAGTTAATAGGTTATATTTTTATTTACTCATAAAAAAAATTCAAATTGTCAACCATGATGATTATTTCACTTAAGGCACAGAAAACATATTACTATAACCCAGTCAATCGTAGGCAGCGCCACCAGCGTTGCTATGCTGAGTGCATGGCAACGCTGGTGGCACTGCCTACGATTGACAGGCAAAGCTCTCTCAAAACACTTAATGCTTTTTACCATGCGGTTGGCATTCTGGGTTATAGTAGTATGTTTTCTGTGCTTAAGGCTATTTGAAAGGGCATATTTATCATAAGACATTATAAATAGTAGGCTGTAAGATGATTATTTCAGTGTTAGTTGGTTAAGTTGTATTAACACTTCTGGTATGGCATATATTATTTTGATTTGAATGTGTTTGGTTGTCAAAGTGTTGTTTGTACAAATAGGCCAAAGTTTTATTTTCTTAATCCCTTAATTTAACCAACCTACACTAATGAAAAAAAATCTGATTTAATAATTAAAATAGGGATATTTTGTTTTCAAATAAAACAATTAAGCAGCCTAATTTAAAATGAGGTACCGATGGTACCAAAACCGAGAACCGATTTTGGTTAGGAACCGGTACCGGAACCGACATTAAAAAAGTGGTACCGACCCATCACTAAAGTAAACTGTCCATAACCAGTATTGATGATATAGCTGGTAGAAGTATAAAGTTGCACAATTTTGGAAATACTGAGTTAGCTATGAAAACACACAAGTCCAATAACGTTTATAAAATACCAAATGCATAAAAATACCTACACTCCCATTCTCTTCTTCAACAAATTTGTGACCTCTTTACTCTCATCCAGAGTTTTGGCCTTTAACCTGAGAACTGTGCAGAAGTTGACGACGCATTCTTCACAAATCGATTGTGACATGTTTAAACGAGGGCCTCCGATGTACTGATCATACAGGAACTCTGCCTGTTAAACAAATATACTATTAGTGATTTACTCCCAGCATTTGAATATCAGTTGAACTTAACTGAAACTATATTGTGAGTAAGTAGCATAGAACTTAATAACTCTCCAAGCAATATTCTGGCTTGATAACAAATATATAACAAGTCAGTGAGTCAGTGGCTCAGTCGGTAGCGTCGCGGACTTCGGGCCCAAGGCAACAATGTCGTGGGTTCGGATCCTGGTCACTGCCACTAAAATTTATCAGTACAGTTCACCTTTGTACTGTACCGGCTCACACCTTGCTTTGCTGTAAACGTTCCACGCACAGGTGGTTAGTCTATGTGGACGGGCAAATGCAAGGTTAAAAGAGGCCGCCAACCACTTAAAAAAAAAAAATATTGGTTGCATGGCTTTCAGTCAGTCGCCACTGCCAATTTAAAATATGAGAAATTAGCAACGATTACCAATAAATTAATTCACAAGTCTATAAAAGATCTCCCGAGGCTAAATTCAAACCTGTATGCCTTAATAAACTGCAAGCTTTTCTTAATGTGGTATACAAGCCCAACAATTGTCCAAGAAAACGGTAAGATTGTGACAAAAACTTACCGTTCGAGCTGAGATGAACTTGGCTTGTGTAACGGCGCAAGGATCTAGCTTTTGGTGAGGACACAGCAGTTTGATGTTGTCTATCTGATGCGAGTTCCCCTCGCCGCCTTCCAGCCAAGACATGAGCCAATCGGTGGATATCGCATCAATCTCCTCCAAGTCAGTCACACCGTCTACAGGTAAACATCTGTACATGTCCAACAATTCCTCCTTCTTCACCATCCCTAGTTGCTAAAACAGTAACAAACAATGATTTGTTTATTTTGAGTATTAAAAACTTGGTCTTGTTGATTAAGGTCACTGCTATCAGTCAACTGGGAACCTTTTGAATTGTCAAGGTGGGCACTTAAACTACTCAGCTACCCAGTCAATACACCCTCAATATTATAACAATTTTGTATAACCTAGTTTGTAACAATTGCAAGGTGTCCAGTGATAATTTCCTGCAGTCGTGACCACATCAGTGATCATATCTTACAATTTCAGCAAAATTTGTGATGATTCTCGCGATCGATAACTGTAATCATTTTCCACGATCACAGCAACACCCCGTCATAATTTCTTGCGATGTCGGACATCTGTGTTTATATCTTACGACCGCAGCGAAATTCATGATTATTTCCGCCATTCCAGCAATATCTGTGATCTTTAAGAAATATATCTTCTTAAACAATTTCCATTAGACTTCACGATGTATTCTCCATCATTGGAACCTCTATCTACTATGGTCCTGTACCGCTTTAAATCAGTTATCCATACATGAACCCCCTTTTGCAATACAGTAGAACTCCAATTATCCGAACTCCAATTAACCAAAACTCCGATTATCTGAATTGCTTACTTCAACAATTTTAAAAACGTAAAGCTCCAGTAAGTTTTGCAAAATATCAAATAATTGTTATTAAACACATTTAGCCAGAGTGTAATTTTGGACTTTGATGGAAAACTATTAACTCCCCTTAATAACATGTAAAGAAATGTAGGAAATGTATAGAAATGTTAGAACACTTGTAGGCCTACTATGAGCATTGTAAACTGTAGAAATGTTCTTATTTCATTTATTATTAATTAAAAGTTCATTTAGTACAGAAAATGGGGATTTTTCTTTAAAATTCCCAGAATTCCGTAAGTCGGAAGAAGAGAATTCCGAAATTCTCAATATTGAGATTGAAAAACTGTGCATTTTGAGTGCTAATACAGCTGACATCAGCACCAGTGTCAATTTTAAATCAAAACAAAGTTAAGAAAATCTGTCCTATTAACCAAAGTTTTACAAAAAACGGCTGGGACAAACTGATATTTGATACCCAATAGTAACAGAACTCAGAGCAAATAGATTAACTTTGCTAGATGTTGGTTCAGATTCAACCTCTTGAACCACTGAATTGAAACTTTTATGTTTACATGCACGACTAAAATGGTCCTTTAATCCGCATCTGAAACAATCTTTATCAACTGCTGGACACTTTTCCTTGTAGGGAAACTGATTTGAACCACATCAACTAAATTTCTGACTATTGTGATTAAATGCTGAGGCAAACTCCTTTGTCGCTGATTTTACCAAACCTTGATTAAAACGTCTTTCTTGTTTCCATGACTGATGTTTCGCTAATCCCTTCCGAGTTAATAGTCTGTTGTTCCATTGATTCTGCTTGCCGTGCGGCTTGAACTGCCCCAGTCAACGTTATCCCATTTTTGTAGGTGATTGGATAAACTCTTACTAAACACTCATGTAACAAGCTTAAGAAGTATCATTTCATCATTAAAATGTCTACTCTTACAATTGCTGCATGACCAGTCACATCTCTCTGACTTTTGATGTAAATCGTCAATGTACAAGTCAATTTTCTCCCCTGGACATTGGTCTTTCTGTAGAAACATAGCCCGATGGTAAAATATATTCTTCTTAGTTTAAAAATAATCATCAAAAGTTTTCACTACCTCATCAAATGAAACCCTTTTTTTTTCAGACATTCCTACTTAAGTTAGGAGTTCCTCCGCTTCTTGGCCTATGCAGTACAATAACATGTTCACCTGCTGATCTTTTGATTTCAAAGCCTACCAAGTAGCTTTACGGAACATTCAGAATACCTTTATCCAGTTTGACCATATCGCTTGATCTTGATAGTTAAAGGGATCAGGAGATTTGACTTGGTACATAGGTTCTTGCCTAGATTTAGCTTATTGGCCCATTTTCGTACAGAACAGAGTTTATTACATCTTTCAGTACTTTTGATGTCAATTCCATTATAAAATATTCTGTTGGTTCTAATAATTTGGCGAGTTGGTGGATAAGTCCGTAGCGCCACTGACTTCAGACCCAAGGCAGCGATGTTTTGGGCTCGGATCCTGGTATCTGCCGCTACTTTTTATCAGTTCAGTTTGCACTCGTACTGTACCCCTTGCTCTGCTAAATACGTTCCACAGGCCTGCGGCCCATATGGGTTGGCTAATGCAAGGTTAAAAAAGGCTGCCAACCTCGTTTTAAACAATTTTAACAAATAATAAAATATCTGCATTGTAAATTTTAGATATCTTCCACAGCCTAAGCATAGTTTAGTCCCTAAGTTTGTAAATCTAAAAAATTAATAGGGTGTAAAAAATATTGTTGAAACATTGTAAAATAAATTTGATTGGAATTGAATTGAAATAAGTTAGTCTTAAACACCCTACGTGGATTGATTAACACTTGCAAGTATTTACACAGTTTTCACTAGTAGACCTATCACAGTAATTACCTTGCTGGATTCGATTTCGTCACAGAAGTCATCAAATTCTTTATTCTTAGAGTTAACATAGCTCTGCAGCCTGGCAGGCAGTGGCACTTCAGTCAAGTTAGACTTGCGTTGATCCACAGTGTACACCAACATGTAGGCATCTGTGGAGCCTTGAAACCCTTTGGGCAACCTTGGAAGCTTCACCTTCTTATTGCCTGAAATAACATTTTGTTTAAGTATTTAAAAGATGAAACTTGTAATGAGAAGTATAAATGGTTATGGATGTAAGATGGTATAAGGGCCTAGGTTTTTAGGATTTTTTGTGAGAAATATCAGGCATACCTGCAGGGGAAAGACTCCAAACTGGCACAAGAAAGACAAAACTTTACACTTAAAAAACATTACAATATTTTACTGTCACTAACGACATTTTCAACTAAGGAAGGTATTCTGAGTTTAAGAGAGGAGATGATGTTGTAACAGTGTTGCCAATACATACACATTATGATTATACCATCTCAGTTTTTGTTGATAAACTTTATTGGCTACAAGTAAAATAATATGTATGTAAGCCGGCTTACTAGGTTGTGCATTGAAGTGGATTGGACAAACGGTGTTATGGTAAAACTTATAGTAAAACTTCCAGGTAAAACTGTCTACAAGTCACGAACACAATTAAGTAAAAATGAGTTTAGTTCCTTGGTCACTTATTCAGAGCTCATGAGGTCAGAATAAAAACAATTTTGGACTATAATTAATTAATTTCAGAACTCATCTACTAGATAAGACATAGTTACACATTACATGTATGGGAGGATTTAAAAATAAAACAGAATAAAAAACCTAACAACAATTAAAAATAAACCAGAATAAAAATACTTAGCCTACTTTCTGGATCTTCTTCATCAAGTTTCAGCTTCTTCCCTTCGAGTTTTTCAACACATTCGTCATTAAACGTATTCCAAGTTCCAGATACACTGTCCTTTATGTAGGCTGAAAAAACGGTTTTTTGAGTAAAAATGAGTTAGTGCTAAATACATATTACAAAAATACAGTGTGGGGCAAAAAACCAATTTATTTTATGTAGCGCATTCTTCAGCAACAGGTCGTCTGAGAGTGGTGGAGTTAGGCTCGTTGGAAAGCCTACACGATGCCGTTATCTGTGGCCATAGAACAGTGGTCACCTGAGCAAATGCTTTTGTTATCGAGTCAAATTTAAAAAGTAACGATTCAGTCAATGCAGTTTCATGTATTCTTTTAATTAGGGCGACGTGGATTCCATCAAGTAGCACAATCATGTGGTGGGTTAACAACTTTAGAACAACGGCTTCTGAGTTCAAAAAGAAGCTGGAAAGCCGTCCAAAGCAGATCTGACGAACAACCTGTGTTCCTGCTGCTGTGGAAAACAGTCCTCGTTGGCCCACCCGAAAACAAGCATCTGCTTTGAATATGTTTGATCGCTCAGTTACACAAATTTTGAGGTGTGTTGTTAATTCTTATCCCTATAAAATAATTTGTATTTATCTGTTTAATTTGTTGATTATCCATATGGAACCTAATCGTAACGGAACCTCTCCATGTCGACCTAATTTAAAGAGTGCACAAAACTGCCACTTAGTTGCAATGACTGAATCATTACTTTTTTAAACGACTTAATAACAAACGCACGTCACTTAGGTGGCCACTGCTCTATGACTATCAAATAGGCTATCCAACAAGCCTAACCCCACCACCCTCAGACGACCGGTCGCTTAACAGTGCGCTAGAGAAAATAGATCGATATCTTGTCGCACCCAGTACTATACTTCTTAATTTAGTTGATTAACCCATATTAGATTCGGTTTGCAATTTGGTTGTTATACATCTAGCTTTTGGAACCTTAATAGTTTGGGTGTGGTAGAGCGTAAATCACAACTTTCTCTTATCACAGATGTTGTGATGTGTTCTCCAATGTAAGAACACCACGGTAGGAGGGGGAGGGTGAATGTGACCAAAAGAAATGTTTGAAAGTGGTTTCCCACCATTGAAACCACTTTGGTTAAACCACTATTGAATCATTGTTCCGAAAAGCTGTTGACATCTAGCCAACTACGCACAATTTCCTTTAGTGTTTAGTAAAAAAACTAATCAAATTGTGTTTTTTTTTTATATTTTATAATAAAGGTTTCTGGGATTTTATTTACCAATAAAATGTCCAGATGATGCTCTAGTCCCCTTGTGGCTAAGCACAGCGCTTAGGTTGTAAACTATAGACTCTTTGTCCGTCTCAAAAAATTCTTTCATATCCAACACTTCAGGAAATTGGATCACAGTTTTCAGTTTCTTCTTTTGCCCCTTCTCTCTGAAAAATAAAAAAAAAACTTCAGCAAAAACATAAAGAATGACACTTAGAAAAGGTCTAACGTAATGTAACATTTTGTGTAGCCTAGCTATTGGAAAAAACAAGCGATTTTTAACTATAAGTTTTAAGGCCAACACAAACCGGTTGTGAGTCTGTCAGCAGATGAATCTCCCATGGTTACAAAGGAAAAATTCAGAGACAGGCCCGGACTAGGACAATTTGGGGCCCTCAGCTACATGCTGTCGATGTACAACAAACAAGCAGACGATGTATTACACTACAACAACGTATCAACAAACAATAGGCTACAGTAGGTTGTATACCTTTATACAAACGGCAAGATGTAAAGGAAAATGTAAACAAAACGTTACTAAGTACATGATAACTTATAACAAGCATCAATATTTTATTGTAATTTAAAAGCGAGAAGGGGCCCCTTTGGGGTCCCCTTGAGCCGGGGGCCCTCCGTGATCGCGGACCTAGCCAGTCTGGGCCTGTCCAGAGATGAGGTGGCAAACAGCCTAAGAACAGAGTAAGTGATGTATCTAACACTTACCTGCAAAAGCTTTTGCAAGGTGTGTTAAAGATTGGTTGGTGGCAAACCCATTTTACTCCTTGCAGGAGTTTTGGAATTCAGATACCCACACAATGCATTAGAAAGAAATAAAGAAAACAAAAATACATACATATATTTATATTACCTAAATCCTTGCCTACAGGTATGAGTGTGGTTTTTAAGTTTTCCGTTTTGCTTTTTCTCTGCTTTGTTAATTTTTATATTTTTTTCTCCGCTGCATGTTTTACAGTTTTGTTTTGCAGTTTTTTATTTATTTATCTATTTTGCATGGTGTGCTCTTTGGACATTTTGTTTTGTAAATCAAGAGGAAATGCATTTCTGTTTTGCTTTTTTTAGTGTTAGTGACTTGGCCAATTGTTATAAACTGAACGGCTTAATAAATCTTGAATCTTAACATTTTTGATCATAGTGAAGAAAGAATACGTTTAACAAATATACTCCTTGCTTGCAATTTGTAAGGGCTCTATATAGCACCAAAGTATTCCATATCAGCCATCACTACTCGTTAGCTTCAAACAGAAACTGCAGCCCTTGACAGCCTCTGGACGTCTGCGGGAAGGACAGACGGTGTGTGTTGGCTTTTAACTGTTAGTCAAAGTTAATACTTGTTAAGTAGCCTATGGGTTATATTTGTTAGACTAGAAAAGTTTAATACAAAAGTTCTATAAAACTAAAAGTCATTAAATTGAGCTAAAATGTTTAAATAATTCAGCAGGCTTGGGTAGATTTACGGTTAAGCTTGTATGTATTCAAATTAAAAAATTATAACTATCTGAAGTCCTATAATGAGCATAGGACTTCAGATAGTTATAACTTTTTCATTTGAATATAAGGAGTTATATAGAGGGTTGGGTTATATATTTGGGGAGTACGGTACCAAAAGACTCTCGAGAAACACTTAGGAGTCCACATGTGGCTGACTTTCTATACGACTGTTGTACACCAACCGCAGCACATATTGCTGAATGCTGACATTCTACAAACCTGTCATACACAAACCGCAGCACATGTGGCTGACTTTCTACACACCTGTCATACACAAACCGCAGCACATATGGCTGACATTCTACTCACCAGTCCTACACCAACCGCAGCACATATGGCTGACATTCTACTCACCAGTCCTACACCAACCGCAGCACATATGGCTGACATTCTACACACCTGTCATACACAAACCGCAGCACATATGGCTGACATTCTACACACCTGTCATACACAAACCGCAGCACGTGGCTGACATTCTACACACCTGTCATACACAAACCGCAGCACATATGGCTGACATTCTACTCACCAGTCCTACACCAACCGCAGCACGTGGCTGACATTCTACACACCTGTCATACACAAACCGCAGCACATATGGCTGACATTCTACTCACCAGTCCTACACCAACCGCAGCACGTGGCTGACATTCTACACACCTGTCATACACAAACCGCAGCACATATGGCTGACATTCTACACACCTGTCATACACAAACCGCAGCACATATGGCTGACATTCTACACACCTGTCATACACAAACCGCAGCACATATGGCTGACACTCTACACACCTGTCATACACAAACCGCAGCACATATGGCTGACATTCTACACACCTGTCATACACAAACCGCAACAGTTGCAGGTTCAACACGGGTGGAAGTGACCGCAGCTTGATGAAGCGCACAGCCTCCTGCTTGGTCTGACACACCGTGCAGCTGTAGCAGTCCGCTCCCTCAAGTCTCTCCTGCTGCAGGAACTCTGATAAACACTCGTCCAACGTGTTGTGACCCTTCACGTTCAGGTCTAGCTCGTAAAACATGGAGGGGCTCACTGACTCTGTCAAGCACTTGCAGCACCTGGAGAAAAAAATTGTTTACTTCTATTTTGTGACAAGGTACAGATCATGTCAGCTAGGCTGTTACTAATTAGTGAGCAAAGTCAGTCGATCGTTTGCTTTATCAAGTTTTCAGAGGATTTTACAAAATACTTTTATTTGAGCGTTGGTTGAATGTCATATTTCATTTGACGTGGGAAGTAAAGTAGGGTGGAGGGAATTTTCTCGACCATGTTGCCAAACTAAACTTATATGGCTAAACAAGATGTCTTGACCATTGGGGTTTTTTCATTGATGGTCCTGAGTCCTGACCAAAAAATAACAGCTTGCCATACTCAGTAAAAACTGCATGAGGCATTTCACTCAGTCTTTTGTCAAATTAAGAATAAAATACAAGTACAAGTGAAATACTGCAATTAACCTATTACTATTACTATTGTTCTAGGTATGGTTATCAACACAAGAGTGCAAAAGCTCACCTTGTTACATAGCAGTATTCTCCTCTAAAGTTATCACTGACAAGGTTCTGTAAACTGGGCAAACTCTGGTGTCTCAAGGCATTTTCAAGCAATGATATAAACAATTTGGAGAACTCCTACAAAAATGACAAATCATAGTAGCATGATACACAATAGTAGGAAGATACACAAAAATACAGGCAGTTGTTAGCAAACAAAATGTTCACTGTAAAATTGATTGGATATTTCACCTTTAAGAAGGTGTTCATTTTATAATATCGAATTTATTACAGAATATTGTTTCTTAAGATCACCAGCAGAAATACCAGTAGTCATTACTAAATTATTATCTCATTTTCTCAGTGAAATTAAATCTTTTGAGTTCTAGATGTTAGTGTAATTATAGTTTTATGAAAACTGAAGTTTGAGAAACTGGTAGAAGTATGATGAGATACCTACTTTTAGTTCACAACTTTTTTAACATATCTGAAATGAACACATGACAATGGCTTTGCATAGTCTATCAGTCACTAAATACCTAATACCTTGTTCCAACAAGTCTTCAAACATCTGAAGGCCTACTTTAACATCCTAGCAATATTTTTTTTTTTACAACAGATCGACAATAAACAAGAAACTCCTTAAATATCTACAACCAAACCAGCGTAACCAAAATAAAGGGAGCAAGGCCATTTTGGATTACTTTTTTTACAATTATTCTACAATTTTTTGAATTTTAATAATAGTTTTTGTTAAATGAAGTACGATTAAAAGTGTTTTACTGTACCTATTATGATTCTTCTCAAGAAAAGAAAGTTTTGTAAAGCCATAATGATCAGGTGAAACGATTTAAAAACAAATAATAACAATAACTTTCACGTTGATACAAACCTGAGCATCTTGTTGTGTTGACGTGTCTAGCCTCAGCGACTCGACAAGAGGTGAAGGATCAATATAGCGACACTTGCTATGGTACATGAGAGCAAACAACTGTTGCAAATGACCAACCACTGTTTGCGGAACGAACAACTCATCGTCCGTTAACAATGTTGGGTTGTTCCGTTCAACTGGATCTTCCAGAGGGTTCCACAAAAATATTGCATCTCTGAAAAGTTAAATGGATTTTCTGAGTACAGACACAATTAGGCCTAGGCCTATTTTTAAAATTTAGATAGTTTTTTTTTAGAAAAAAAGCAACTTGGTTTTGGAATAATTATTGAGGAGAAAGGAAGGATACACAACTAACTCACCTGAATAAAGAAGTCAGGAGGTCAATAGAACTCGTATAAAAAGTACACATTAAACTGATATTTCGTCCGAGGTAGAATGATTCTGACTAGGGTATCTTTCCTTTCTCCTCTAAAATTTAGATTGTTATATAAAATTTAGATAGTTCAGTAAAACTGGTGTGTGAACAGTTTTATGGAGCTAAATGTTGCTTGTTGGTTCATTTTGGCATCCGTGTTACTATTATTAAGCTACTTTAATTTTGATTGGACTTAATTTATTTTTTTATCTCCATAAACCTATATCTCATGGTAATAAATAAAAAAAGTATTAAATTCCATAGAATCCACAAGTTTTCAGTTTACTAAATAATAGTCATTAACCTAGCAAAATATGCATGTATGAAACAGAAATTTAAAAGTGAAATGATTCTCAAAGTCTACTAGAATCACAGGTTAGATACCGTAACTGTAAATGTTTGAGTGAAGGATGATGATGATGATGATAGAGGTTATAGGGCTATTAACTATTTGTATACAGCTGACATAAGTTATGCATAGCAACCACAACAGCTTTAGGCCTACCTGAAGGCTTTGTTATGAAACCATAGTTGAAGAAGGCTATTAACGTAACATGTTGCTCCTAGGTTTTTTAAACCAACAAAACTTCCGACCGCCCTTCTTTGAAGCGTGTTGTTTGTGTCTTCCGCAGAACTGTTGAGGTTTTCTGCTAAACGAGCTTCGCCCAAGCCTGATAAACAGAAAGGATTTCCTCGGCAATTCCTCCTGAAAAATGAGCAAACCATGCAAAAAAGTTATTTTTTAAAGACAGCAAATGGATGCAAATAGCCTTGAATGTGTTATCAGTTCCTGGTAAAAATCAAAGGTACCGTACCGGTAGCTTAAAATATAACACTTTTACCACTGGTGTCAGAGAAATAGTTTGAGTGGACTACATTAGGCCTATTCATTACTTTATAATGTGTTTATAAATCTGTTGTCCCATCAAATTATATTGGTCAATCAATGGGATGATAGGCCTACTTATATTAGTTTGATCTAAAAATATTGATTAAAATATTTCAATCCATACCTAGTAATATAAATATTAAATCATTTAAATGTTCTTTTTCTGTTACGGTATGGCACTTTTCAAGTAACTTAGTGAGCTGCCTGCCACATTAGATCTATTCAAGTTCAGTTAACTTAAGTTTTAGAAACTCATTAAAAAGAAGATACCAAATACAAATTGATGTCTTAGTAAATTTATCTGTTAAAAAATTGACACAAAATATCATTAACCTTATCGACCGGCTGGCACACGTCACTGAACTGGTCGACGATGACAGTTCAACTGAGGAATTGTGGACATCAAGGTAGGCCCTACGTAATTGATTAGATAACTTCTTGATCAGCATTGTACATGTTATTAAATTTACGGAAAGTAAATAAAAGAAACGTCTTATTACACTTAAAACATATATTTACCGGTACGCTTATACTGTTACTCGCAAGATGGTAAATATACAAAAAAGATGGTAAGTGGTGATAGATTTCAATTAGACACTCCAATCATCATCAGACCCAATAGGCAAATGATTGGGTAGCTGATGATGATTGGAGTGTGATGGGAAAGGGTGTGGGATATGGATGTGCCCTCTTTTAAGAGAACTTACTGAAAGATATACTAATAAATAGACCACTGTACTCCTGGAAAGGACCTAAGGATGAGCCCCTCATGAGATGAGTGTCTGTTCACCTTGCCAATTTGTAAATGGCCATAAGAAAAAGTTTTAAGTGTAAAGCCTACAGTAAATAGGTAGTTTATTGTAAAGTACCTAATAAATTTATTATTAGGCCTAAATTATTAAAATATGACACAATCTATCGGACTAGCTCTGTACTAACTTAATAAGTTACATCGTACACTCAGGAATCCAAGTGTTGATATAGGCCTAGGCCTATATGTTACAAGTGATATGTTGTTACAAGTTAGGTAGACCAATTTATTTTTATTTATTTAACCAGGAGGCCTAATTATTAATTTTGTTATGCTAGCCTAACCTCAGTAAGAGTTATTTTACAATCAAACACTGATTGGTAACTTAAACAATTTGTGGTTGTAATTCAGTGACATAGGCTATGCCTTTTTACTTACTTGCATGTCTTGTTCTTACAAGAGTTTTTTGTTAGTCTGTAGGCAGAGAAAATGTTTTCTGGAGATATTTCTTTGGGGTCTGTTACTTCAACCCATCCCCAAGCAATTTTATCTTGATCCTTTAAAGTTAATGCCGGCATTTTTGTGGCTACAATTTATAACTGTAAACATAACTTCCAATAAAATCCCAAATGAAACTCACTTAACCTCAATTTTAATTTGCTATGGTTGATCGGTTTGATATTTTGTCTAAATAAGTAAATAACATACACATAACACAACTACACCACACACAACACCAATCCACAAAACGAAAGCACACCAACACTGAACACTCTGCTCAACACACACAGGCATAGAGGAATAGGTAGGCTAGGAGCTAGGAATAGGATGGTGTGGTGGGACGGTGGGATGGGAATGAGAAAGAGAAACACGAAACTCTATGTTTATGCAATGCCACCAATGCTATGGTGAGCACTTTTTTCAGGCGCCCCGCGCACAGGTGGCACAATTTGTTTTTCAGGATTAATTTTGCCAACAGTGTCATTTAGAGGCTGCTGATTGACTATAACCATAGACTAAATGTTTTATCTATGTTATAACGAAGGTTTAGTAATTGAAAAATTATTTTTTTCATAGAATAAAATTATAAATGCCTCAAATTCAATTTTATATTTTTTTTATTATGAAACTAAACCGTCATAACCTAACCAAACCAACCAAACGTGCTGACAATGAAAAAATCTAATGAAGGTTTATTAATCGAAAAAATAGTTCTGTTCATAAAATAAAATTATAAATGCCTCAAATCCTATTTTATAATTTTTTTTATTTTAAAATAAACTATCATAACTTAACCAAACTAACCAGACTTGCTAACAATGAAAAATCAAATGAAGGTTTAACCGAAAAAAGTATTTCTGTCCATAAAATAAAACTATAAATGGGTCAAATTCAATTTCATAATGTTTTAATTATAAAATTAAACCGTCATAACCTAACCAAACCAACCAAACTTGTTGATAATGAAAAAAATCCAATACAAAAAAATAGTGCTACGGATGGGATTCGAACCCGGAACCTTTGGATCATCAGCCCAGCACTCTATCCACAACACCACCGAGGCCATTGGCATCATCTGTATCGTTTCGTTGCGGTAATGATGTTCCCTCAGCCAATCAGAAGCCTCAAAATAATACTGTAGGCAACACTAATCCTGAAATAAAAATTCAGCGCACGGCAGCACAATTTTTATTTCAGCTGCGGATTTTCAATACGGACAAAATGAGAGTTAAAAAGATGAATAAACGGTATCAGAATTCTGACACATACTTTCTCCTATAAGTTTGTCAACAACCTTTATCATGTGTAAGCGGTGAGAGTAAATATACGGAAATGGGATTTGTACAATTTTGTTCAGAATGTACCTTATCATGTAAAATGTACCTAATCATGTACCTTTACCTACCGAAATTGTATATTACTCTACAACTTGGACGTATACGTCTAAGTTGTAGAATTATATACAATTTCCGTGGGTATAAAGGTACATGATGAGGCCGCTGTAGGTTGTAGGTGAAGTTACATGATGAGCCCGCTATGCCCTTGTACTTCAACTTTTATAGTTATTTACAGTTTAGGAAGTGGTTTATTTTTAAAAGAAGACCATGGGATTGCATCGCAGTTGGAACAGCTTATTGCGCACCCTTATTAGCAGGTCCTCATTCTCAGTCAAATTCTTAGTGAACCCTGAGATCCTTTTGACTATGAGACTATGGTTACCTGTTCTACCCTTTGATCTCCGGTTGATAAGCCAAAGGATTTCACACGCAGATCTTTTAGGGCTGGGCACATAAATATCACGTGGAAGGCTGTCTCCTACTCCTCATTGCCATATTAACTACTAAGAGGCTTTCAACTTCCATTCTTGGGTATATGTCCCCGGAATACCCAGTGGCCGCTGATGAAGCCAACCACTTTCGACAGGTACTTGCTATTCAGTCCAAGGGCATCTGCCGCTAGCGCATCGGTAGGGTGTCTGTAGAATTGTCTTTGACTGTAAGTTTTCTTCTGTTCTTTCCCAGCTCCTTCAATGTATGTTCTATGAATGTTCTCTGTCCATCCACTGACGAACAGCTCGCTGTGCTGTGTTGTAAGCTAAAGCAATACCACACGTTGGCTCTGGACCCATGAGCGGGCTTTCGGCTCTTTCATTTGCTCACTTGTCAGCTCCCTCATTCCCAGCAATACCTTGTACCCTGGAACCCAACTAAGGATAGCCTTGTTGTTGTTTCCCAGAGCATTCATGGTCTGATGACAGTCAGGGCTGATTTTCGAGTTAGTAAAATCATTGATATTTTTTCTTATACCGTGCAGAGAACTCTCGGCCTCCCAGCGTGAGCCACGCCACGTCTATATGCAGTATATACACTAAGAAGAGCATCAAACGTTTCACCCATGCTATGATGACGAAATCAAGGTAAATAACCTCTTATTTAGAGTATGTTAAATAGCCTATTTTATGCTTGTTATGAGTTATGACTCATGCGTGGGGTGTCATAGCTTATAATGTCATAGCTTATAATCGTGAATTTGTTCCATAGCTTATAATGTTGAAAATGTGGCATAGCTTATAATCAGTTATAAGCTATGCCACACTTTCACGAAAAATTATAAGCTATGCCACAATTTCTCTAAAACGTTATAAGGTATGACACATTTTCAGTTTCACATCTTATAATGGTCAAATAGTGGCGCAGCTTATAATTCCGATTCTGTTCTATAGCTTATAATCCTGATTTTGAGTCATACCTTATAATCCTGATTTTGGGGCATAGCTTATAATTGAAGAGAATGTTGCATTGTGGGAATAACATCAGCTGCTCGCTTCAGTCAGGTCTACCATATATACGATATTTTATGGTAGGATACGATAATTATTGTAATTATTGACCGTACCGTACTGACAACTGCGATATCGTAATTTATAACCTAAACATTTATTTATTTAAATCTTTTAAACGATTTTTATACGAGAAATGGCAACAATTACATGCTATATGACAATGAAAATGCAAGAAATATTTATAGTGAGAAGTTAAAAGATATGAAAATGAAGTGAAGGATAACGGCATTGAAAATTAATGAATCTTGTCAATAGTCCGGCTGGTGTTGACAGAAGATCAAGAAGAGGAACAATAATTATTAATAAATTGTAAACATCAAAAAATTCCAAAACTATTGAGGTGTTGAAATCCAGTAAGTTGTGTTTTAATCCAATCCTGTCCCTAGGCCTTGTTATTCAAAGTAACAAAATGCAGTAGGCTATTATTTGCTTGAGTGTTATTAGGTTAAGTTAGTAGGTACAGTTGCCTAGCCTACTTAAGCTTAAGGTAGCTGTGACTCAAGTTACAGATTTCCTGTGACAGGCCTAAACAATTAACTTAATAAAAATATCAGTGAATGTATTCAACGGCTGCACTTTATTTTACGTCCTACACTCATTCGAATGAAAATATCGATTATTAGATTGTTTCATTCGATATATCGTTTGGTTAGTTAGGTTAGGTTGCCTAATAATCGATATATCGATCGATATTTTCATTCGAATGAGTGTAGGACGTAAAGTAAAGTGCAGCCCTTAAGTTTACGTCCTACACTCATTTGAATGAGTATTAAGTATTCGAGTAGGCCTATATTCGATATAAGTAGGCTATCAAGTTTGTATCATTTGTGTAACCTTAGAAATGGTAAGCGTGATAATACTGAGCCAAGAGATTTAACTTGGGTAGGCCTACAGTTTCTTAACTGGGCTACGCTAACTTAAGTTAATATATTTTATTGAACTACAGTATTGAATTAAAAATATTGATTAATAATAGATATTTTAAAATATACCTATCTAAGTTTATTATAAAATTAAATTATCATAACCTAACTTAACCAACCAAACTTGCTGATGGTGAAAAAATCGCATGTAGGTTTACTATAATCGAATCGATAGTTTCAATAAAATTAGCGTAGCCCAGTTAAGAAACTGTACCCTTTAACTTATTCTACCATCAATACTGTTAATACTATTCAATGAAATGGCGACGATACATATTAGGTATTTTAAGCCAAGTATGAATGGAAATTTAGTAGTCTATAAAATAACTTATAATAGGCAACGTCACAAAACTTAAGTTAGGTTAATTTCACACAGTAAACAAGGCAGCAAACCATGCAGTTAACTTATGGCAAAAAAACATGTAGGCTACCTAAGAAAATGAAATTGTGACACATAGGCCTACCTGAGTACATGAATAAAATTACAAATTAGGCAAGTAGGCCTATGGGTCAACTTTTTTCATATTAGCCCACCATACTTACAATTGATTGTAATTGGCAAAGGCAAATATCCTTGTATTATGTTTCTTTCATAACCTAAAATCAAATGAAAATTCGGTTTGAAGGTGTAAGGCAGGATAAATCTGAATGAGTTCGCGAACTAGCATGATCCGAACTAGCATGGGACCGGGTTTTAATGAGTTCTATGCAGAGAAGGGGCCTAGGCCAAAAAATGGGGTTTTCTCATTTTTTACCCTTAAAACACAAAATTTATCAATTATTCTCTAGACCTTTCTAAAGAAATTTAAAAAAAATAATATGTCATCTATGTATCGTGTTGTGTATAGTGGAGTCGTGGATTAGTTGTCCGCTTAACTGTGTGTGTGTGTAAGTGTTCGCATAAAAAACTCAAGCTAACCGTTGCACCTATAGTGTTAAAAAATTGCACGAATCTTAATTATGACACCAATGGAAAGACACCATAAAATTTAGACGATTCCGTTCAGTAGTAATTATAAAACCCTCAAAATACATTTTTAAATTTGTCCCATAAGAATAACATTAGAAGCTACCTTCTTCTACTTTTTATTTGTTTATGTTTTGCGACCAACAAAAAGCTTAACTTATATTTTAAAATATATATATAGGCTATATTTATTTTTATAAATCAAACTTGAAAGCTTTATTTTATACTAAGCTATGTTTTAATAAAAAACACACTTTATTAGTTCCACCTGGGTAATGACACTTGGGTCCGAGAGAACCAGTGGCCTTCGAGTTTTTAAGTTTTTATCTACCAATCCAAATATTTGTACAAAGAAAATATGCTCTACCTTGAGCTATAGTTCTATATTCTGTTTTTACTTTTAACAAGAAGTAGGCCTGAATGATGTACACTGCCTATTTTTGTTCCAGGTAAATTTTCTTGTAAAGCTTGGAGCATTGCAAATGTTTGGTGTTAATGTATGAGAGTACTTCACATTTAAACAATATTGATGAAGTTGTCTGCTTATTTGGGGCCAAACAAGAAGGAGAGAAATTTTCTTGGAAAAGAATCGAAAGCAATAAAGATAAGTAAGTTTGGCTAAGTTATCAATATGATTAAAAAGCATTTTCAGTCCTTGTTTAACATTAACACGTTGACTGCTAACACCGACTCTAGTCGGCGTCGCTAGCACTTCAATGTGGCGTGCGCCGACAAAAGTCGGCACCAGACCAACAGAGATATATTGAGTCAGTGTGAGCTTAGCCTCAGACGGAGACGTTATAATCGTTGCCAGCCTGCCAGCTTAGAATGCGAGCTTTACTTTGGTGTAGGTTGGTACTAAAATTTCCCGTAAAATCCTGTCTGGCAATGCTTTTGTCCCGGTTTCGGGGATTTTTTCTCTTCAACCCACATTACAAAGACACTGGATACGGATCCGTGCAGTACTGCTACCTTTGGGTGTTTCAGTGAACTACATCCACTCTCGGGGTAACGCAGCACAGTCACCACTGCTCTTTTGTGATTCGTCAGACTGAAATATTTGAATGCCAATTACGTTCGCTGATTCGGTTGCGTGCCGGGGCTTCGCCCGCCACTGGGGAGCGCCTGTACGTTGTTTTCAGCAGTCATCGTGTTAACTTATGATGTGCTGTGGCGGTTAAGTTTTTATATTTGGAAAAAAATACACTTTAATCAACTTACAGCACTGTTCAAGTTTCAGAGTTACCTATGGTGACAGAATAATACAAGGCATGTTATTTAAGTAAGTACTGTTTTTAAATTTCTCCGTTTCAGTGCTGCGATTGGCATTTTGGACATTTGTGCTGTGTATGTGGATGTATTGGCAAGCCTGCGCTGGAAATTCGGCACAAATCGGCTGTGTTTACATCCGGTTTAGAGCATTCAAAACGGTGCCGCCAATTGAGACTGCCGTCGCCTGTGAAGTTTGCGCTGTACCGGTAATTAGATTTTTAAGTGCTAAAGGTGTGAAAGCCATTTAAATTCATTGACAGATTAGTGAAGTGTATGGGGAGAAAATTATGAGTGGCGGAATGGTACCTACGCAGGTGGGTAAGGGCATTTAAAGATGGCCGCACCAACGTTCATGAGGAGCAACGCACAGGGTGGCCATCTATCAAATTGTCATGGTGATTTCCAGGATGTGAATCCGTTATCTTCGGAACCGGAGACTTACGCTGTACAACTACACCAGTCTAAATATGTGGAAAGATCAAGTTATTTGTTTATAGTTTATTGCCCCCACACAACTGGTAACAATAAAGTAGTTTCACATCTTTTTGTGGTAAAAAAATGTTAATACCAGCACAGAATTAAATTAGTTATTTTTCCCCAACACCCATTAAACCTTAGATACATCGATTGCTCATACGTAGGAGCTTGAACAAAAACAATTATACTAGTTTGATGAGACACCGTGCTTGTCAGATCATGTGAAATGAGAAAGGCTACTATCTTATTAGTATTATAAATGTGAAAGTTTGTGCGTTTGTTTGTGTGTTTGAAGTTCAATCACGTGTTGATTACTGGATGGATTGGGCTCAAATTTGGTATGATGATAGCTCACATTCACAATTAACATAGAGGCATATTTTTATCTCAAAAATCCTTTCGGGCTCCGCCCCAGTGGCTCTAGAGTTTCCCATGTTAACCTTATGAGTACTCATATTTAAATGGAATTAAAGAATTTAGTCAGCTGTTTCAACTAAAAAGGTTGGTTCTATGACATGCAAAGGCATTTAAAGTTATAAGATTTACCAACAGGATGCAGCACTATTATTTTTTTTTCATTTATGAAAACAGCTAATTTGAACTAAGCAGCAACAAAAAACTGTGATACACAATGAGAACTGTCTGTTTACAGTTATGTTTATGTTTTTTAATTTCACGAATAATTTGTGATATTTTGTGAATCTTTAATAATTAATTTTTTCTTTTGTTTGGGTGAGGTGGTAGAACACTATGGCTATGGTAGATGTGTAATACTATATTCATAGACAATAGAGTAAATATAGACAGTCAAAGAAAGGTTTTGCAATCTGCCGCTAGAGCGTTTTTGCCGTTTGATATCAGTTATCAGTATTCGATCCAGTGTCGTCGTCGACTACTTGCCAGCTGTTACCAGCACTACCACTCTTGCAAACGAAATGATTACTATTCGCTATTGTCATCTTCTGCAATCGCGTCAAAATCATGAACATCTTCCGCGGCCGTATATACAATCGTCTTGCGCGATCGCAGAAAAGACGTGATCATTCTTCCCGTGGTCCGTGGTCACGAAAACGTCGTCTAGCACAGTCGCGGTTTCAGAACATCTCCCGCGGTCGTATAGACACATCATCCATCGTCTTGTGCCGTCACGGAAACTTGATCGTTGTCTAGCGCGATTGAGGTAAAATCATGAAATTTACCGACTTTGATATCAAAATAAAGACTAAATCCCAACTTTTCAAGACCATTTTGAAATTCAATACTAATACCTGACTTTCCCGTTTTCCCTGACTACTAGACATCCTGGTTAAATTTTATTTTGACCTTGCAAATATAAAACAAAACCTTCCAATAAACCACTTCCTAAAATTATGGATTAATAAAGAAAAACTTTGAATCATTGTAATGAAACTACAAAAGTATAACAAATATATGTTTAAAAAAAATACAATAAAATATGGCATTTAAATTAATTTACTGCTTAATATTAAATAAGTCAGTAAACTCCAATTCCGGGGGATTCCTCCAAAGTTGTCAACACTAACTCCCAACTACCAAGTTGTTATGGAAACGGTCGCTAGCACTTGATGCTGCAGCGGCGTGCGCCGTAACTACACATTACCTCTGGCAGTCGGCGCCGGAATATACGCTAACCGCAGCACAGCTGGCCACTCTACTCCTGCCCAGTATGGTCAGACCAACTAGCACATGGTTTTATGAAGCCGTACTTGGGCTACCGCTGTATGGTTTCATCATGACATGTATTTCAATCATTCACTGGGTTATAATTTGTATGTATTTGAATGGATACATTTAATACTTAATTGATAAAAGTCTATGAAAACCGTTTAGTGCTCTATGGTCTTCTATAGTGCTATGGTGGACACTAGAGCGTAATCTGATTTGGTTCTACAGTACTTTACTTTACTTTAATTTTAATAGTAGCATGCTGTTAGCAGGTTTGTGCTGTGCTGGGCAAGTGTGTGCAATATCCATGGAAAAATTATGTTGAATCCTCTCACCTTGTGCAAGGATCCTTTAAGTCAATCTCAATTTCTCTTGCAGCAAAGTCCAGGACAAATTAACCACCAAGCTAACAAGACACCCCTTTCTCTATTTAGTTTTGATAACAATTTTGAGTTATTGTTTATTTGTTTCTGGATATCATGACAGAAGAATGCAGAAGGGTTGCTCAGCTATTAACTTCGCCTTATAATCTTTATTTATTTCAATTGTGTTGTAAGAAGTATTTTTTAAACAGTAAAACTTTCTCCAATTTATAGACTACCTAATATGATTCATTGTTGTGTTTTATTAAGGTCCTTACCCTTATCTAAAAAATATTTTATAAACCAAAATGTTTAATGTTGTTCGCCTATTATTCTTGATGAAACATTAAAATACACTCCATTATTGAGCCTAATCATATATATTGATTTTCTACTTTAAAAAAAGTAAGTAACACAACCAAGACCAGTCCTTAAATAAAAGTACTTCATAATTATCCTAGTAAGACATAATGGATTTCCAAATTCCTCCCTAGGAGTTAATCTGCATCCGGACAACCAAATTTTTAAGATTATTATATTTAAAGAATAGGCTTGCTAATACAAATATTATGTTCATTTATAACTTTTTTCTCATTATCTATACATAAAATTGATTAAAATATGTGAATGCGACTATTATTACTGGTGGGGAGGGGGCGCCACAACCACCTTTGCTCCAGGCGCTGCCAACCTTAGGGATAGCCCTGATATTTACCTTAGGCGGCCTAAGGTAAATATCAGGGTTATCCCTGATTATGCGGCCTAAGTTAGGCCCCTTTTATGCTCAAGTTTGGGTTGCAACTAATGCTTGGTGTGTTGCCCAAAACAAGCGACAAGCAAAATTTAAATTTCTTTCTTTTGTACCGAATGTGATGCAATATAAACAGCAAATTAGAAACGCAAATCCAGTCAGCTGATTAGACATAGGCGACTTACCCAACGGCCCTACGACGTGGTGGGGAAAGCTTCTAGCCAAGGGTCTGTCTCAGTGACCAGTGTGTCTCCAACCTTCCTATGCGTGGGGTGAGTTGTTAAGTGGAGTCGTGCAAATCAATTCGTAGTTTGCAGTGTTAGTTGGCAAAAATTTAATTTTCAACAAACCCTAAAGCCTATATCCCGCAGGGATATATTTTTTTTGAATTAAATTAAGTTAGGAAAAACTCATTTCATCCTCACCAACTTATACATACCGCTCCCGAAATTTCACGTCTTAGTTCAACCAAAATTCAATTTGTCCGCATTTTGGAAAAAAACTCATCCGTATTATCTCTGATTCCTTAAGTGTTTTGTGTCTGACGTCCAGTTGTAATTAACTATATATTATTTATTGTATTAGTGTTATAATTACTCTTAGTGGGTCGTACAAGCCGTTACATTTTATGTTATGTTTTGGCCTCCTGTTCTTGAGCACATGTTTTCAGATTCAGATACTGATAAGTACATTTTGTATCCATTTTGATCTAATTAATTGGTATTGATACATAGTCAGTGATATTATTTTTTATTCTAAAAAATAAATAAATGTTCAATTATTTGTGATAAAATTAACGTAATTTGATTAAAATGTTTGTATTATAATCGTCATTGCACACACATTGTTCCCATAACACAGTATTATTCCAAACAAAAGGTTACAAATGTATAATTGCCAATGGTGAAATTAATTGGAAAATTTAATACACTTGGAAGGGCTGCAGGTTTGATTCTGGCTTGCGATTGTAGTTAGTGGGAGTGTATTCCAATATAGACGTATCCGCCATAACACTCTTTAGCTATAAATAATAAATAATCTTTCATACGATTGCCTTGAGTTACGTACAGTTATACTGTAACAAATTGGACAATGAGATCTACACTTCAATTTTATAGTCTTTCAGGGTGGCTATAGTGACGTGGAAATGACAGGGAATATTAAATATCTGGAAAAGTCAGGGAATTTTGTCATAAGTCAGGGAAAATTGTAAAATGTTTAAAATAATTGTTAGTAAAGGTCGATCTGGTGAAAGTACGTATGCCGTGTCACGGAAAACTAAAAAATATGTTTGTACAAATAAATTTTGTGTTTTTGTACAAATTAAATTTTGTTATAAACTGTGTATCATCTTATCAAACTCTGTTTAATTTTGATATCGTCAATATACGTGATTCAATTGATTTGATATCACGGACGATTAAACATTAAAAAAAAATGACAAAATAAGTGTTAACAAAAACCATCTTCTTTATTACATTAAAACAACAACTAAAACACTTATTTGTTTTTAACCAAAAACAATTTAAAAACATCTGACTATATAATATTTTATCTATATAAGAAAACAGTCTTTTGGCAAAGAAATAAGAATATTATATTGAGGTGTTTTCTTTGTAAATGATTTATCATCGTACGTCAATCATCCCCCCCAAAACCCTCAATATATTTTAAATCTTCCTCTTTCTAGACCTTAAGTTATACACAGGTGATGCATTGTTATGGTCTTCTGCTTCTTGTTCATCATCTTCGGCTTGAGTTGCTTCACGGAGAGTTTGCGGAAGTAATTTCAACTCCGACATGTGTACCTTAATTGGTGGATCAGACCTCAAGAGGTACACTCCCTTCCCTAGCTTGTGTTCCACTTCAAAAGGTCCAAGCCATTTCCGTGCCATCCCTGCATGCACATTTTTAAGCTTACTACTCAAGGGATGGTTTCGCCGAAGAACCAACGTACCCGGTTTCAGGTCCTGCTCTTCAGGTACATCGTTTCTCTCAGCTTCCCTCCTCGAACTTTCTTCAGCTTGTCGATTCATATGTTTGATTTGTTTCACGTTTTCTTCATGCCATGCAGTCAAATTCATAGTTTCAGGAGAGTTTTCATGCATGAAGTTCCAATCCCCAGTTCTTTTTATTTCCCGACCAAGAAAAAGTTCTGCTGGGGAGAAGCCTGTGACGCGATTCACTCGCTGTCTGATGGCAAGGAGAGACTCATGCAAGTGTTGATCCCATTTGGTATGTTCTTTGTCAAACAAATGAATCCTAAACAGCTTCTTAAGTTCCTGATTTCTCCGTTCAGTAGGATTTGCCTGAGGGTGGTAGATTGGCGTTGTCCAGTGTTCAATAGCCC